TCGAGAGTAAACAAATATACCACACTTCCAATACACTATATGTAGGTGGTCTGATGTGCTTTACCAAATGACTGATATTATTTTAAACAATTATTAAAATATTCATAATAAGACAGTAAAATCTTCTGTTGTTTGTATGAATAAAAATTCATTATGTGAATAAAAAATAACAATGAATTCATTTGTTAAAGCAATGGAAAAGTAACTAATAAACAGGGAAATTTTATTTTAGTGCCAGGAATGCCTGCATTGTTTATTCTGGTGCCTTTTTTGAACTTGTGAGAAATTGGCCAAATTACCATTTCGATCACTTTAAATTGTGTAGTTGAAAACGTTGAGTGGCGTTTGTTCTGCTCAGACATACATTATACCTGTAAAAGGTCCAGAATATACAGTATATAAGTTTTCTCACCTAGCACCCCAAAATCTTTGAAAACAAAAAAAAAACTTAATATAAAGAGCGAACTCATTTCCAAGTGTTATAAGTTAAAAAAAAAAATTTTAGGTCGTACTTGCCGAGATGTGAGGACTGCAAGGTAGCCACTGGATGCTCACCTGATGGCAACATCGAGTCCTGCTGTTTGCAGAAGTGTTGCCAATATACCTTTTTTTCTCGTGTTTTTTATTATTTTACATAATTTTTATGTTCTGATAATTACAATTTATAGTAGTTTTTGTGATTTCATAGCTAATCTTTGTTCTGACACTAATATTAGGTATTGAAATTGTACTCAAATTGTCACAAGCACACTGACAGGTGAACATTTACACCTGCCTTGGTCATTTACTGTTGTCTGGGAATATATACAAAGTATTTATAGGTCCCAGCAATGTTTTGGATACATGGGAGTATATAATAATAATAAGTTCCCTTGAAGCATGACGTAAGACAAGTGTCAGTCCTATGCTGGCAGTGCAGTGGTGACATTTGATGAGCGTCCACGGCCCTGGCTTTATTTGTTTTCACTGTTTCACATAAACATTGTCTGTCTGTTTAGCTCTATCTGTCTGTCTAGCTCTTTGTCTACCTCTGTTTATCTCTGCTTGTCTCTTTTTCTGTCTCTGCTTGTGTTTCTCTGACTCAGAGAAAACCAATCGTGAACCAACAGGCATTACACTACTGCGTTGTCACGTCTGGTTCCTGAGCAAGTGTAAATACATATTTGCCAGTCATGCTTATGCATTATATCTACAAGTACAGTATAGCACTTTGTGTGGATTTTTGGGGGTTATCCTAGGTATTTCCCAGTAAAAGTAGGCCTTAGACAAGGATGTGTGATGTCACCGTGGTTGTTTAATATATTTATAGATGGGGTTGTAAGAGAAGTAAATGCGAGGGTCTTGGCAAGAGGCGTGGAGTTAAAAGATAAAGAATCATACATAAAGTGGGAGTTCTCACAGTTGCTCTTTGCTGATGACACTGTGCTCTTGGGAGATTCTGAAGAGAGGTTGCAGAGATTGGTGGATGAATTTGGTAGGGTGTGCAAAAGAAGAAAATTAAAAGTGAATGCAGGAAAGAGTAAGGTAATGAGGATAAAAAGATTAGGTGATGAAAGATTGGATATCAGATTGGAGGGAGAGAGTATGGAGGAGGTGAATGTATTCAGATATTTGGGAGTGGACGTGTCAGCGGATGGGTCTATGAAAGATGAGGTGAATCATAGAATTGATGAGGGGAAAAGGGTGAGTGGTGCACTTTAGAGTCTGTGGATACAAAGAACTTTGTCCTTGGAGGCAAAGAGGGGAATGTATGAGAGTATAGTTTTACCATCGCTCTTATATGGGTGTGAAGCATGGGTGATGAATGTTGCAGCGAGGAGAAGGCTGGAGGCAGTGGAGATGTCATGTCTGAGGGCAATGTGTGGTGTGAATATAATGCAGAGAATTCGTAGTTTGGAAGTTAGGAGGAGGTGCGGGATTACCAAAACTGTTGTCCAGAGGGCTGAGGAAGGGTTGTTGAGGTGGTTCGGACATGTAGAGAGAATGGAGCGAAACAGAGTGACTTCAAGAGTGTATCAGTCTGTAGTGGAAGGAAGGCGGGGTAGGGGTCGGCCTAGGAAAGGTTGGAGGGAGGGGGTAAAAGAGGTTTTGTGTGCGAGGGGCTTGGACTTCCAGCAGGCATGCGTGAGTGTGTTTGATAGGAATGAATGGAGACAAATGGTTTTTAATACTTGACGTGCTGTTGGAGTGTGAGCAAAGTAACATTTATGAAGGGGTTCAGGGAAACCGGCAGGCTGGACTTGAGTCCTGGAGATGGGAAGTACAGTGCCTGCACTTTGAAGGAGGGGTGTTAATGTTGCAGTTTAAAAACTGTAGTGTAAAACACCCTTCTGGCAAGATAGTGATGGAGTGAATGATGGTGAAAGGTTTTTCTTTTTCGGGCCACCCTGCTTGGTGGGAATCGGCCAGTGTGATAATAATAATAATAATAATAAATAATTGTATTTATGTGTACCTGTGAGACAAAGAGATAGAGATAGAGACAGACAGATAGATGGACAGCCAGTTGGTCAGCCAGCTTGCTGGCCAGGCAGTCACCCACCCAGCCAGCCTGCCTGCCAAACACATATTACACGTTCCAGAATTGTTTCTCTTTACATAATTAGGGCATAGGTTATAAGACATTCTGAAAGGGTGTTGCACAAATGTTGCATATGGGTTATTATCAAGGTTTTTGATATTTCCTCGACCACTTATGGCCACATCCATCTCAAAGCCACTAAACTCGGGGTCAGCATCACTTTCCTCTTAAAATGGGAGTGTTAATACTACATGAAATCAGTGAATTTCAGGTGTTTGCTGCGCTGTTTGCTCTAGCTAGCGCTCATTTGAACTGGTGCTCCCACAAAGTACTAAATGGTTCCAGATTTGTTTAATACTTCGCACACTGAGTGTTAAGACCCTTTCTCTGCTAACCAGGCATCTCAAGCCAATCGTGCCAAATTTGGAGGCAGGAAAAATAAAACATTGATCTACGTTTGGGGCGCAAGCAGTAAGAACACTGTTCAACTGTTCAACAGCCTCTCATCAAGCATTAGGGGAATTGCCAATAAGCCCCTGGCTGCCTTCAAGAGAAAGCTGGACAGATACCTAAAGTCAGTGCCGGATCAGCCGGGCTGTGACTCGTACATTGGACTGCGTGTGGCCAGCAGTAACAGTCTAGTTGATCAGGCCCTGATCCATCGGGAGGCCTGGTCATGGACCGGGCCGTGGGGGCGTTGATCCCCGGAATAACCTCCAGGTATACGTTTGGACTATTTAGGGGTTAAACAAAGAACCTTTGTATATTAATTTTAAGTACAGTACCATGTCAATTTAGTCTTTTATTCCTTCCTTCCTTTTATCTTTTTTAAATTTGATAGCACAGTAGGGCCTCACTTATACGGCAGATCAGGTTCCAGGCTACTGCCTTAAAGCAAAAATCGCCTTAAAGCAGTATGCCATTTTTTCCACTTATAAATGCATATAAATGCCAGACAACAAGTTAACAGCAACTTATATTAAGTTAGCAGTAGAATTAGGCATTAAAAACAAGGAAATAAAATACACATATAGTACACTCATTACTTACCTTAAAATATTTGTAGTCTTAATGTAGGGTGAGATGAGTAGTATTTATCATAAGAAATCAGGTGTGGTAGGTATGGCACCCAGCCAGGCTACTATACCTACCATACCAGGCAACCTCACCCACCCAGTGATAAAATGCATACACAGTTCACTCATTACTTACCTGCATGCCAGCACAGTATGTAAGTATATTAAGGTACAGGTACACATAAGTATAATTATCAGAGTATATATAAAATATGAAATAGCTTTAACCCCTTTAGAGTTGGTGTCATACTAGTACGGCTTGCACACCAGGGTTGGTGCCATACTAGTACTCATAAATTCTAGCACCTTCAAATCTAGCAAGAGAAAGCTGGTAGGCCTACATATGAAAGAATGGGTCTATGTGGTCATTGTGTGCAGTATAAAAAAAATCCTGCAGCATACAGTGCATAATGAGAAAAAAAACTCCGACGTGTTTTTGCTTTAAAATAATGACTTTGCAATGTATTTTCGTATGCTATTTATGGTTGTATTCTAATTTTTCTGGTCTCATTTTATAGAATGGAAGATATATTACAGAAATTGAGATGATTTTGATTGGTTTCATAATGAAAAGTACCTAGAAATTGAGCCCAATCTGCAGAAATATTTGATTTTTGCCAAAGTTTGAAAGTAAACAAATGCCATGCGTCCAACACACGTCAACTGGTGAGTCTAGTATTCTTTCACAAGTGCACTGATATTATTTATACCATTTCTACACTAATGCAGCAGTCTGCATAACAGTAAATCTTTTTTTTTTTTTTTTGTGAAAATAAAAATTCAAAGTGGAAAGAAAAAGAAATGAAAAAAGGGGCCTGGGGACGTGACTGATGAACAGAAAATTTTTTATTTTAGTGCCAGGAATGTCTATCTTGTTTATTCTGAACCCTGTTTGGAAATTGGCATCTTTTGAATTTTGTGTGAAATTGGCAAAATTGCTAATTTCTGACCACTTTATTGGATAGTTGAAATCGGTAAATGGGGGCTTTCTTGTACTCATTCGATAGAAAAAATGGAGTTCTAGCAAAATAGTTATGATTTTTGTTGACTGGTACAATGGAATCAGCCAAAAATAGGGCTCAACATGGGCAAAATCGCCGATGCGTAAGCATCGTCAAGACCGCTAACTTCACGAGAGCATAATTCCATAAGTTTTCCATCAAATTTCGTACTCTTGGTGTCATTATGATTGGGAAAAGATTCTCTTATCATTTCATAAGAGCTCATGGAGAATGTAAACAAACAGGGTGGGCGTGCCATATTAGGAAGACAGGTAGCCGTATAGCGAGTTTTGGTCATAATTTGAAATTGCTATATTAGCGGAACACCGTAAAGTGAGGCCCTACTGTACATTATTTATCTTATTTTTGACATTTACTTCATTCTGTATTTTTACATTGCAGGTTTTTCAGTAATAATTCGTCATTTATGCATGGGGGCCACAATTCCATGAGCGAACCAATTATCGGCCAAACAGACATACATGAAATGATAAAAACTCTCAACTTTCGTGACTGTCGTGCCAAGATACGAATGGTTGATGCTCAAGCCACACTTGGTGATGGAGTAGTTATTCAGGTAATTAATTTAGTTATATTTTTAAGACCCAGGAGCTAATGGAATAGAAATCAAAACTGTTGAAAAGCATTTATGGCTTAGATTGACTTTTGAAAATTTGTGTGTGTGCTTGGAGAGTAAGAGTCCCAAATAGGTGTGCAAAATAAAAATGTACCTTAGATCAAAGTCAAAGGAAATGAGTTTGTATTAATTCAAAGGGCTATTAGTAATTTTTTTCATTTATTTCCATGCAGTACCTTGAGAATGTCTTTGAATCAACCTCAAAGTTCCAAGGTTTATGTACCTTAGTAAAACTAAAGGTGACATTGTTGTTATATTTATTATCCATTAATTATTATTGATCATTGTAGGACTCTTTACCATTTTGTGGTGGTGGTGGTGGTGGGGGGGGGGGTTATACCATCCTCAAGCACTAATTGGCACACCTGTTCTCAGAGCTGACATGGTTTGGGTAGTCTTGGATCAAAAAGTAGGGTCAACAACTTTTTTAAATATATGCCAGTTGGAGTTTTATTTTATTTAAATTTTGTTATATTTCACAAGCTTTTTAAGATGATCATATCCAGTTTGGTATGTGAATGAAAGAGTGTTCAAATGTAGGTTAGACAGCCGAAACTTGAACAAAGGTGTGTGCAAATACAAAAGGTATGTTTGAAGAAGTAGTGAACAGTAGGGTTGTGTTCTGTCATGTGCAGAATTGTAGCTATAATATAGATTTTGATCATCACAAATTATATAGTCAGTTGGTAGTGACATCTCTTCATTTCTCGCAACTCCTAGGTGTCGCTTTTTTCAGCTTCAGAGCCCATGTGATGTGGCACAATGAAACTGGGCCCCAGGTTTTTATTGACCGTGGTTTTACTATGATGTATGTGCATTCAGCAAAATTACACAAAAAACTTTGGTATAGATTAATCACAAAGCTAAATTCCCAATGTTGCATGATGTACCAATCGCACTTTCAAGGAACACTGATGGGACTGTGTTAGTTTATTAGTCAAGGAGGCATCCCAGACACAGGTATTTGTCATTTAATGGCCTCTTCAGTGTGTCCTTAGTCATAGTATTTTTAAGTTGTGCAAGGTACTATGACCAAAGATACGGATGGAATGGGGTTGCAGTTGGTTCAGTGGTGGGTCATGACAGCAGTGACTACTGACTAACTTAACTGGTGATATTACTCAGTGGTCTGTACTGCCTCCCTTTATGGAGTGGGGCTGTAACATTGATTTTTAGGGCTTGTATGATAATACTTGTCTACACACTTCATAATATGCAATGGAACCTTGGGATACGAATGCCCCACCATGCAAATTTTTCAGGATACGAATTGTCGTTTGGTTGATTTTTTGCTTCAGGATACGAAAGAAATTTCAGGATGCGAACTTCCCCCTCAAGGGAGGTTCCTTAACCCTTAAACTGTCCAAACGTAGATCTACGTTTTTTCAACATTTGAAAATATGTAAAAAAAAGTAGATTTTTTTTTTTTTACATTTGAAAATGTGTAAAAAAAATTTTGATCTACTTTTTTTTTTGTTATATTTGAAAATATGTAAAAGAAACGTAGATCTACTTTTGGAGCACTACGCATGTGAACGTAGATCTGCTTGGACAGTTTAAGGGTTAAATAAATAAATAAATAAAATATATATTTCTTTGCAAAGGTTACAATGTGTGTTTACATATCATAATATGATTGGAGCAAAGAAAGCCACTATCATGCCGAGGCATTTCAGGCAGAAATGCCTACTTGAGACTACTTAAGTCTAGGCAGGTGAAAAGTGTACTAGTAGTAGTTATCAGTGTTTTGCTGATGGTGGTGCCAACTACTGGCAGCCTTTTGAAGTTTCTTCTCACTGTTATTATTACTATTGTATTATTATTATTATTATAATAATTATTATTATTATTAGTAGTAGTAGTAGTAGTACGTACGTATGTGGCAAGGGGCTCTTGATCTAGGGAATTTGATCTGTGCTCCAGGTCCCTAAATTAATAATAATAATAATTATTATATAAAAATACTTACGTACTAATAATAATGATAATACATAATTATGTATAATATAATAATATAATAGTATATAATAATAAAATAATATAATATATAATATAACAATATGTAATAGTACAATAATAATTATAATAATAATAGTACTTGTATGTACGTACTGCGTATAATTTAGTTTGACAACACCACCACCAGATAGCAGTGTCAATCAAAACAGTGGTCACCAGTGCACATGTGCTTACGGAGTTACCCCTGCGGTGCAATGAATTCTCGTGATTTCCTTATGTTTTGTGCAGTTAATCCGCCAGAGTTCTTTCTACTGACCATGGGTCCTAAGAAAACAAGTGCAGTGGACATTGCCAAGAAGAAAAAGAGGATGATTTGCATGGAATTAAAGCAAGATATTATTAATAAGCACAGACTAGGTACGAGGGTCGAGGACTTAGCGAGTTGAGTACGAGCATAGCCCCTGTACTATATGTTCAATACTAAAGTAGGAGGACTCTATAAAGGCTATAATGCCAGAAAAGGGCATTACAGTAATTTCTAAGCAGTGGACCTCTGTCAATGAAAAGATGGAAAAGCTGCTGTTGACATGGTTGACGGAGAAATAGCTCACAGGAGATACGTAGTGTAGCGAGATCAACAAGAAAATTGTACATAGCATTTCTTAAGATTATTATTATAATCAAGGGGAAGCGCTAAACCCGTAGGATTATACAGTGCCTGGGGGGGGATGGTATTCAGGCTTAATTCGGGGAACTGGAGCACAGGTACAATTCCCTAAATCAAGAATCCCTCACCATCATCAAGGAACCTTCCTTGAGGGGCAGTTCTTAAGAAAAGTGTGAACAGGTTATGCCACTCTGCATTTCTTCTCCAAGGTATGTAAATACCCTATGTACACGAGATCTAATTCAGTTAGCCTCACAAACTCCGTTTTCTCTTATAACACCACTGACGTTTTCATAGCGAGAATGCGCGACCACTCCCGACCACAATCCTCCTACCCCCGCCGTCCATGTAATGACATATTTTATTCATTCTAGAGTGTATATCAGGTTTCTATGTTATTTATATTGTTTATTATGTCATATTAGATGGATTGTGACAGATAAATAAGTGATAGTGATATTAGGGTTATTTTGTCATGCCTCCTGAGAGCAGGAATTCAGCTGGAATGAATTAATTGCATTTCAGTTAATTTAAAGGAGGAAAATTGACCCAGCATACGAACAAGTCCGTGGAATGGATTAAATTCGTAACCCGAGGTTCCACTGTATATGTTAAACCTGTGATTTTTTTTTTTAAGAAGTTTAGCAAATTTGGGCTTAGGGCATGGCTATTAATGGATTCTTCAGTGTCAAGTAGATAAACCTGGCCCAGGGTGGGTATGTAGAAGGGAAAACTCTAAATCCTTCAAAGGTATGTTTGTCAAATTTTGAAATTTTGATGTCACATTAATGAAAAATTTATATGGGTTTCAGTCTTTCGTCAGTATGACAGTTTGCTAAGCACCTTGTACTATGTCTTTAGTGTCTTTTAATTTCTTCGTCATACATGAAATTTCCTTTTTAAACAAAGGTCATATTTTAGTTAAAGGGTTTTCCATTCAGTTTTGCATAAGAAAACAGCATTTAGGGTTAGTTTTAATTTAACTTGTGGCTTTTAGCTGTCTCTTGGATTTTGTATGATACTTTCAGTTTTAGATTGTTTTATATTTCTCTAACCAGTATCCTCTTTCTTGAGAAAGTCTGGAGCAGCTGAGAAGTAATGACACACACTGCCTGTAGAGGGAGTAGCATTACATTAGATGTTGCAGTTATAAAGGTCTTTGGCTAAATAGTTACATTGCATATTTGCAGGTAAATATAAGGTGGTTACTTGTCAAAATAATTTCAATATAATCAAATTATACTATTAAATATTAATGAAAATATTTATTATAGGTAACTGGAGAGTTGTCTAATAATGGTAATCCAATGCGACGATTCATGCAGACTTTTGTACTGGCTCCACAAACCCCCAAGAAGTACTATGTGCACAATGACATCTTTCGCTACCAGGACGAGGTTAGTAATGTAAGGATTAAGCACAACTGAGGAAGTTTTGCATTTTATGTATTACTAACGATTGTGGGTATTGCTAACAAGATTTTGGGCAGGAAGGCCCAAAATACTTCTAATCCTTTTAGTAACTCCACACCCGCTCATAATTTCCACACTGAATTCTCTGCATAATATTTATAGCACACATTGCCCTTAGACATGACATCTCTATGCCTCCAGTCTCCTCCTTGCTGCTGCATTTACAACCCATGCTTCACACCTGTATAAGAGTGTTGGTACCACTGTATTCTCATACATTCCGTTCTTTGCCTCCATTGGTCTCCATTTGGTCTCCACAGATACCTCAGTGCACCACTCACCTTTTTTCTTCATCAATTTTATAGTTAACCTCGTCCTTCATAAACCCATCTGCTAAGTGAACTCTGAACACATTCACTTCTTCCATACTCCCTCCCTCCAATGTGATATCCAGTTTTTCTTTTTCTAAACCATTTGATACCCTCATCACCTTACTCTTATCTATGGAGCTTTTTTAGTGTGAAGTTGTGGAGACCTTGGTAAGATGGATGAAAAATCTTTCCTTATAGAAGCCCCTTCCCCCCCCCCACACATAAAAAAAAAAGAATAGGAAAAGATTTTTGTGGGAGGTTATATTTGACTATCTACTTGTAGCAGGAGATGAAATGTTATGCAGATTTTCTCGGACTACAGCAGTTCTCTTTTGCTCAGTTGATGGTGCCCTTTAGCACTTGCACAGGTTTCAATAACTAAGTCACCTATTCTGTAACACTTGTGCATCTTTCAGCAAGGCATCTATTCCATAACATTTCCACAGCTTTCACCAACCAGTCACTTATTTCATAGCTGGTGACTATTCCATGTCACCAGCGAATACCAAATCAAGCAGGAGAAAGCTGGTAGGCCCACATGAGAGAGAATGGGTCTCCATGGTCAGTGTGCACCATATCAAAAAAATTGGGGAGCCAGTGGTGCATTGTGGGAATGCCATTTCAATCGTCCTTGTTCAGCATGTCTAGTGGTAAGAAATATGTGACTCCCCAGCAAATCTGGGACTCTTCTCTTCCCAAGTGATGCTCTAACACAGATGGATGTGTCAGTGAAGATCCATTTCATGGTTTTGAGGAGTTTGAGACCAAAAGCAATGCTCAGGATACCAGAAGAATGAAGGAGAACAAAGAATGAAGGAGAAGGAAGAATGAAGGAGGAGGAAGAATGAAGGAGGAGGAAGAATGAAGGAGGAGGAAGAATGAAGGAGGAGGAAGAATGAAGGAGGAGGAAGAATGAAGGAGGAGGAAGAATGAAGGAGGAGGAAGAATGAAGGAGAAGGAAGAATGAAGGAGAAGGAAGAATGAAGGAGAAGGAAGAATGAAGGAGAAGGAAGAATGAAGGAGAAGGAAGAATGAAGGAGAAGGAAGAATGAAGGAGAAGGAAGAATGAAGGAGAAGGAAGAATGAAGGAGAAGGAAGAATGAAGGAGAAGGAAGAATGAAGGAGAAGGAAGAATGAAGGAGAAGGAAGAATGAAGGAGAAGGAAGAATGAAGGAGAAGGAAGAATGAAGGAGAAGGAAGAATGAGAGGAAATGAAGAGAGGAAGAATGAAGGAGAAGGAAGAATGAAGGAGAAGGAAGAATGAAGGAGAAGGAAGAATGAAGGAGAAGAGAGAGAGAAGAGATAAGAGAGACAGATGAGGAGAAGATAATGCGATAGGATGGAGGGGCAGCCAGCATCAGATGCTGTTGTTTTGACAGGTGGTAGGGGGAGTGAGTAATAAGACAATATGTCATTTTGACAGCTGCCAACCCTGACACAAAACAATTAGAAATGAAGAATGAAGGAGAATGAAGAAGGAAGAATGAAGGAGAAGGAAGAATGAAGGAGAAAGAGACAGAATGAGGAAGGGTTGTTGAGGTGGTTCAGACATGTAGAGAGAATGGAGCAAAGCAGAATGAATGACTTAAAGATTGTATCAGTCTGTAGCGGAAGGAAGGCGGGGTAGGGGTCGGCCTAGGAAAGGTTGGAGGGAGGGGGTAAAGGAGGTTTTGTGTGCGAGGGGCTTGGACTTCCAGCAGGCATACGTGAGCGTGTTTGATATGAGTGAATGGAGACAAATGGTTTTTAATACTTGACGTGCTGTTGGAGTGTGAGCAAAGTAACATTTATGAAGGGATTCAGGGAAACCGGCAGGCCAGACTTGAGTCCTGGAGATGGGAAGTACAGTGCCTGCACTCTGAAGGAGGGGTGTTAATGTTGCAGTTTAATAACTCTAGTGTAAAACACCCTTCTGGCGAGACAGTGATGGAGTGAATGAGGGTGAAAGTTTTTCTTTTTCAAGCCACCCTGCCTTGTTGGGAATCGGCCAGTGTGTTAATAAAAAAAAAATGGAGGGGAAGCAAGCATCTGACCCCATTGTTTTGACAAGCGGTAGGGGGAGTGAGTAATGAGACAATATGTCACTTTGACAGCTGCCGACCCTGACAAAACAATTAGAAGCTAAGAATGAAGGAGAAGGAAGAATGAAGGAAAAAGAGAATGAGAGAGAAAGATAACTACGTAACACAACTGCCTGCTAATCCTCACAAAAATGCAGACACACTCGTTTTGTGTGTAAGGAGTATAAAACACCATTGTGTATGAAACCATGTTTCAAAGAGTTCCACAAGCTGCAGAACTTCTAGGAACATGTCCAATGACTACATTTGTACAGTGGTCCCTTGTTTTTCGTAGTTAATCTGTTCCTGGAGTTGCTACTATTATCGAAATCTACACTTTTCGAATCAATTTTCCCCATAAGAAATAATGTAAATACAATTATTCCGTTCCTGACACCCAAAAGTATTAAAACAAAAAAAATTTTTACATGAAATATAGATGTAGTACATAAACAATACAATGGGAAATGATGAATGAAACATTAACAGCATAACACTTACCTTTATTGGAGATTCTTCTTAGTGTATGGGAGACTGGAGGAGGAGAGCGATTGGATTGTTTACAGTTTGCAAGGGGAATCCCCTTCCAGCAACACCTCAGGTACCAATTGCTTTTCTGGGGTTGCTTCTCTTCTCTGTTTCTTAATGCCACTAGGACCAGCTTGAGAGTCACTGGAGTCCTGTCTCACAAAATAACTGTGGAGAGAGCTCTATTTCTGGCATCTCTTTAACACTTCCCTAAAATGGCCCAAGACTTTGTCACTGTACATGTTGCCAACATGGCTTGTAACAGCCTTGTCAGGGTGATGTTTCTCCATAAATCTTTCTATCTTACCCCACATAGCAAAAATCTCTTAAATTTCTGAAGAAAGCACCTTCCATCTCTCTTCCTCCTCCTCTGCAGCAAGATTCTGAGCTGCGATCTGTTGCTGTTCCTGCTGAAGCTCTTGCAGCTCCTCAGTGGTGAGCTCTTCGTTGTGGTCTTCCACCAACTCTTCCACATCCTCCAAACTTACATCCAACCCCATGAAACTCCCCAGTGCCACAATTGATTTAACAACAGACAGGCTCATCAGGGTCAGTCCCAAACCCTTCAAAATCCCTCTTGTCGACACAATCTGGCCACAATTTTCTCCAAGCAGAGTTCAAAGTCCTGGTAGTCACTCCTTCCCAAGCCATACCTATAAGGGTTATGCAATGGAGGATACTGAAGTGTTCTCTCCAAAATTCTCTTAGGGTCAAGTGAGTGTCTGTGGTCACAGTCAAGCACCTTTGAAACATTGCTTTGGTGTAGAGTTTTTTCAAGTTTGCAATGACCTGCTGGTCCATGGGCTGGAGGAGAGGAGTGGTATTCGGGGGCAAGAACTTTACTGTAATGAACCCAAACTCCTCGAAAATTAGGTCATCCAAGTTTGGAGGATGAGCAGGTGCATTGTCCATTACTAGCAGGCACTTGAGATCCAGTTTCTTTTCCAGGAGGTAATTCTTCACACTAGGGCCAAACACTTCATTGAACCACTGGCTGGGTAGGGAGGCCGCACCGGCACACACCGTGCGTACACATCCTGGACGACCTACTATTCGCGAGTCAACCTACGATTAGCGAGCCCATGTTTATACGAAAATATCCCTTTGATTTCCGAAATCTACGATTCTCGAGAACTACGATTATCGAGGGACCACTGTATATATATTATAAAACAATAGTAATAAAAAAATTTTTGTATTTGTTTGTGTAAACAAGTTTTGTAAACAATATATTGATAATTATGTTTGTGCATTTATTGTGTTGTATACAACAAGTGTATATATGTACATTGCACCATACAGTGGACCCCCGCATACCGTTGGCATCACATAACGTTAAATCCGCATAGCGATACATTTTATCACTAAAATTTTGCCTCGCATAGTGCTAAAAAACTCACTCGACGCTATTCGTCCGAGACGCGTCTGTGAGGCCTGAGCCAGCCTCACATGTTCCCCCGGTGGCATTGTTTACAAGCTAGCCTCCGCGGTAACATCCAAGCATACAATCGGAACATTTCGTATTATTACAGCGTTTTTGGTGATTTTATCTGCAAAATAAGTGACCATGGGCCCCAAGAAAGCTTCTAGTGCCAACCCTGTGGTAAAAAGGGTGAGAAATATTATCGAAATACTTTGGTACCATGGTCAACTGCTGATGCTGCTGCTGCTGTAGCACCGTCAGCTGCTGCTGCTGCTGCTGTAGCACCGTCAGCTGCTGCTGCTGCTGTAGCACCGTCAGCTGCTGCTGCTGTAGCACTGTCAGCTGCTGCTGCTGCTGTACCACCATCAGCTGCTGCTGCTGCTGCTGCTGCTGCTGCTGTAGTACCGTCTGCTGCTGCTGTAGCACCATCTGCTGCAGCTGTAGCACTGTCAGCTGCTGCTGCTGCTGCTGCTGTTGCTGCTGTAGCACTGTTGTTGGTGTGGCTTATTGAGAATACCAAGAAACAATTAACCCCAGAGGGTTAGCCACCCAGAATAACCCAAAAAAGTCAGTGTCATCGAAGACTGTCTAACTTATTTCCATTGGGGTCCTTAATCTTGTCTCCCAGGATGCAACCCACACCAGTCG